TCAGGGTTTAGTCAACTCCCCTAGACTGACTACCAGTGGTCAGTCAACCCGGTGGAAAGCACCGGGCATTCGCTTTTGCCCTCCCACTTTAGTGTTAACACCGCCACGAGAAGGCTGTGGGTAGGACTTCCTCAGCAGAAGCTATTTGAGGCATTTGGTCCTTTGGGAGCATTTCTAGAGGAGTTCGGGATGAATGACCATTTCGGAACCCGAGACACCCACTCCCGATCACACTGAGGCATTTGGAGGCTCACTATCTCTTATAATCGCTTTGATTGGGTACTAGGTCCTCGACCAGGAAGGAAGTCTAAGGTGACCTCTGTGACTGCGAGTCCCAATCGAAGTCTTCAGTATCCTCATGTCGGTCTTATTCTGACCCACCTGGACACTCCCATCAACTATCTGCCTCGCAAGTATCGCATACCGCCTATTTAATGACATGTATAATGCATGCCCCAGCTATCGTACCCTAAGTTGATCATTTACTTCAGTGCACAGTTTACCTAAAGCTGCACTCCACCTCAGCGTTGCTTATCCGGTTTCCGCACTTGATTTCTGCAGTGAGCTGTAAACAGATGTGTTCGATAATCGGTAGTCTTCCTTTATTTTGTTACCATAACGACCAAGCCTCTGCGTCAAATGATAGCCTTGAACGAACTGTTGCAGCATTGTTTTGACCCTTCGCAAACAGTAGAATGTCTTTTAATGCTAATGGTGTTTGAATCGCAAGGTCAAAGTCAAAGTTTTATTATGGGCGATTTAACAAAGCTAAAGCGTATCATGCCCCATAGAATTTTTACAGAATATTTTGGATAACTTCACAAAGAGAAAGTGATAAAAACAATTTGCATGATCACTCACGGATGACAAACGTCAACGCCTTCCGTGTTCATCGTAGCGGATAGTCCTGACCCAGGTTGTCTCATTGTTCTACCACGCAACATTCGGTCTGAATTTCATGCCTCATCATCATAGAGTGAATTATTGATCATTCTGATGATTAAGAAGAATTCATTATTCTACTGCGTAAACTACTGTAGGACAAGATTGAGTTCGAGCGTCTTATTGCTGTTTTCCTCCACGATTCCACCACCCGACGCCTTCAAGAAAGACACTTGTAAACACTAACCTCTATCCCAACTAGGTCAAATTTGCGGCCAGGTTTTCGTATTGCGTCAGTCCCTTTAACTAAGCCACACTCACCACGGACCAATTTCTCTATTTTATTCGAGTTGAAGGAGCGTTTGATTCAGTTGATCATAAAACTTCGTTCACTTCTCATTGTCGAAGTTGAATGCCCCGGGACTAAATCAGACCATTAAGGCCGCTGTGTTGAAACACTGAAACGGGCAGAGTTACGGCAAACTACGCAATTAGTTCGAAATCAATTAGAGGGGAGAGGGGTTCTTTAAAGGCACCTCATTTCTCTATTCTTATTTAATTATGTCATAGAGGAAATATTCCGGTGTCTTATCTGTTCTCAAAAATTTCGGCATCAAGTGAACAGGTAAAGAAAAGCTGTAGTATCTTGAATACATAAGGAACGCGTTCTCCGTTCTTATTTAGGAAGCGTGCGTCTAAAGAACAAACTGATTCTGTTACTCCCTCTAGCGTGCTCTTTGTATACTCAAAGTGAAGACTAATGCTACGATACTGAGTACCTAATATCCTTACTTCAAAACTCGATAGTCAGCACCCAGTGTCGTGGTTGATTGTTTTTCCCAGAGGGTTTTAACAGTCGACGATAGCACCGCTAACAAGTTGTACGCGTATCCGCGGTTCGAGCAGTACAGACTGGGCTCAAGGACTTCAGTCGTTGGCCTTGTGTTACATTGGAGCTACAAGGTCGTATACACTGCCACAATGGGGTTAGTTCTGCTTCACGACTCCGTATCGTTGTGACGTTCGTCTACTGTGTCTTTCATCTGTCAATGTTTGCACTAAAAAATCGCGTTGAAAATGTTTAGTTTGTTGTTAATGAAACTTTAGTTATCTTACTGCCAAGTTCCACTGACAATCAGCGACCATTACTTGCATTTGAGGAGATGATGTGGTATATTTTACAAAGTATTCCCGTCTCACTGGAACGTGCCCTGGATGATTTTCAAGCTGTTGATTATTGTCATGCTTGGGCTTGCATGTAGTTCGCTGCTTAGGTCGCCGGCTCGCACAACTGGACAGTAGCTCGCAATTGATGGATTCACCCATTCTACAATTAATCAAATCAAATAGTGTAAAATAATAAGCCTGACTAAATGGTATACGGTTTTATATCTTCTAGATTTGTCATCAACTAGACACACCCTTCATGCAGTTACTACCCAAATCGGACGGCAGCAGAGCTACCTACCACCAAGGTTGGATGTCGGTTTCGTGACTCGAACCTCAGACCATTGGGTCCAAAGCACGTCGACGACAGCGAATATATCACTGCGCCACCACCACCCTAGTTATAGTGTGTTGCTTCTCCTACTTGGGTAGTTGAGTGACGATTGACGGTGAAGGAGGCAACCACCCCTAGTTCCAAATCACGACTAATGTACGCAGGATCGAAAGACCTTTCTGCCGACGTAATTTCCCCTTGAGACGGAAAGGTCGTGTATACTGCACCACTGTGCGCTCAGTTCTGTTTTACGGTTGCGAGGCCCTAAATTTTCACATGGACGATATTAATCGTCCAGAAGTCTTTGACTGTCATAGTTTGAGGTGGGTTGGATGGGGTGCGCTTGTGAGTAACGCAAACTGACAAGCATTTGAGAATGATTCCGTGGAGAATGCGTTATCTGCTCGAACTCAAGCTAATAGGCTTCACTGACCAGAACAAGCACGTGCGTACCGAGCTGTCGGTTACTGCATCGCACCTTGTTCACGGTCACTATTACGGGCTGGGGGAAACCACATGAAGGTTGACAAAAGACGTGTAGACGAGGCATAAAGAAATACAATACAAATGTACATAACGATTAGGTAGAGCAGGTGTCTCCGACTTTACATGGTTGGATTCCAAAGGACTCTGTAACTGGTTGGTTGGAGATATCGAAGAATATGGAAACAAGTGGTGTTCTGGTGGTTACTTCTTATCAAACCGGGATGCTTGAACTCTCGTGCTAGCGTAGTTCGATTGTGTACTGCCTGCGCTTAATATGGTGGTTCATCCCCCCCCCCAAATTCCTAAAAATACACTCAATCATTGTCATTCTTACACACATTCTCACTTTGTATACAGTATGAGCCTGACAGCGATCGGTAACGCTTGCTTCACTGTTTTAAATGATGTGAGATGTGGCAACTGATGATGTTGCCTAGCTTAGCTACAAAACGTCAACGAGCAACACTTTCAGCTCGGAAAACTCACCAGCACCAACATCGTTTCACTGTATTTTACCGTACAATGATTATGGTGATGGTGATGATGACACTTTCATGAAAGTTGGGCTTCGTGCTTTGAATGCGTCATCTGGTAGATACAAAGATTACTGGTCAGTTTACGTCTTACATTCTACCCATACGTCGTCCATCCGGAATAGATCACCATTTATTCTTTATGCAACGTAACTGCCTCCTAATTATGATGAAATTCTAGGTATTTTTTTTTACTACGGACCAGTAAAACTCAATTTCAACGTGTAAACTAATTACCAATCACCATTTCTCTAATGCTCAACTTCGTTCAGTCCCTGTTGTTTAGTTTATTTAATAAGTATTATTTTTTAATTCCTTTGTCTCGTTTTTCCTTCAATTTAGGTTGCTGAGATGCTCACGGTAAAAGGTGGAACCGGTAGTATCGTGGAATATTTTGGACCCGGTGTGGATTCAATCTCATGTACTGGCATGGCCACAATTTGCAACATGGGTGCCGAAATCGGGGCCACTACCTCCGTGTTCCCGTTTAATCATCGAATGGAAGAGTATTTGCATGCAACAAGCCGTCAAGGGGTTGCCGAAGAGGCAAAAAAATACCAAGTAAGACTTGAATGTTCTCCGTGAATCTCTCTTATTTTATGTTTCAATTTAATGACTCGTGCCTTATATGCTATTTTTCTTTTAACCTCGTGCGCAGGCATGAACCAAATAAATCTCATGGCTATGCAAATATCCTGCCTATGTTGGAATTAGACTGTTTGAGGCTTCCGTGAGTTTATTTCAAGTCAAGTGAATAGAACGTTCTACGTGTGTCAGTTTGTAAGATTAGTAAAAGTATATAAAAGAGCCCCATTACTGGTCCCTTGTTTAGAATAAAGGCACCATTAACAACCGAGCATTTGGACTCATTTTCCAAATTGAATGAAAATGTTTAAGGCGGATAGGGATCAGTCCTGTTTTGAAGATCGGAGACAGAAAGCAAACCTCTGTGGTCAGCACACAGAATACACAATTCAATTGTGCATGCAAACAATTTCAAGCATTCCGGTCTAATAAGAAGTGGCCACAAGCACGCCACTACTGTCGTTTCGCTACCATGACCTTAAGTGTTTCCAACCATCCAGTTACGAAGTCTTTTGGACTCCGACCCGGAAGACGGGAAACGTTTATTCTACGTAATCGCTTTGTGTATTTCTCTATGCCTCGTCTTCATGTCATCTGTCTACCTCCATGTGGTTTTATCCCGTCTACAGCGACCACTGTGAATATAACACGCGACGATAATCGACTGTTAGATATACGCAAAACGTATCCTAACCAGCGAGGCCTATTGAGCTGAATTCATTGCGATAACGAGTTCTGGTTCGATGCATTCACAAACGCCCGAAGACCGACATCTAAGTTACTAGCCCGCCTACTCCATCCCACCTGAGCTAGACTACGCAGGCATCGATTATCGAAAACCTCCAGGTGATGGATGTTTTCTGCCCACAAATTCAAGGTCTCAAAACCGTAAAGCAAAACTGATCGTACAGTAGCGCAGTATACACGACTTTTCAACTTAAGTGAAGCGTAACTTCGCCGCCACAGGTGCTTCAGTCCTGCGTACGCCGCTCAAGCCTCTGAAATATATACGCTTTTCTCCTTTACCGCGCTTCCGTCATTGGTCTCACAACGACTCAAGAACGAAAAACATTCAACTTCAGCCAATTCCTGACCATCTTCCAAAAAGGACTATTCAACACCCAGTCTTACAGCATCACTTTATACTTTGAAGTTACAAAGTGCATACCAGACGGAGCAATTTGTCACATGTTCTTAGCGCGTCCTGCATACGTTCGAACATTCAAACGGTGTCATCAGCGTACTCCAAGTCGCACAGTTTGGGCTAAGAACGAGGGGAGCATGTACTCATTGAAGCCTGGCATTATTTCAACTTACTCAATCGATGTAGCAGTCGATATAGCAAGTCATCTTTGCACAACCAAGAAATAGATTAACAACAACAGGGTGGTGGTGGCGCACTGGTTTAGTCGCTGTCACCGGCGTGCTTTGGATCCTGTGGTCCGAGGTTCTAGCCCCGCCATCGCCACCCGACTGTGGTAATAGACAGCTCTGCTACCGTCCGGTTCAATACCACACCTAACCTATCGGGGCCTTATGTGGTTCGTCACTCTAAGTCCCGGGGCTTAGGTTGCCGGTTTCCACCACTGAACAGCAGGTCTTCGTGACCAGGATGGGTTTACTCCGTGTGTTTTTCATCACATTAAAAGTGTGTAATGAAAGTATATCAGAACATGTGAAATCAGCTGTTCCATCCCCACAGTCACTCACTTTTTTACCCGACCATTTTCTGCTCTCAGTTCCATGGATACGATAAATAGAATTTCTGGGGAATAGAATACGGAGCGGTATCCCTAGCACCGTTCGGGGATTTTTTTTACTAGTCGGTCACCTAATCCAGCTCGTGGGCCAACAACATCTCATTCGATCTTTTTGTTTGAGTTTGCGTCTCTAATCATTTCACTTCTAAGCGCAGCCGGTCTGCAAGGCAACAAAGTCATTCCAGGTGATATGGTCGCCTAGTGAGCGCGATTCATTAGCTTATTCCAAAAAACACTATCGGGTCGATGGGACACGATAGGTTCGGTAACCTTATTCAATGCGGTCCATAAACTTATGCGGTGTTTTATAGTGAAGAAGCACTAGCCAAGCGAAACACCCGTATCCTCGAGCACTGTTATTGATCGCTTTCGACTATCATATCATCATATCATATCATACCATACCATTTCATATTTTTGGCCAACCCTCACGACTGAAACACCTTTGGCATCAATATGACGTTCCACTAAGAATGAAAGATCGTATATAGTGTCACCATTCGGTCCAACCTGCTTTAATTTGTCAGTTGAGGACGTCTACAGGTTGGACATTTTCGACAGAAGATGCTTGCGCAGTTCGGCTCAGATAGAATACAACGTTCGATTAAGTTTTTTTTAATTGCACATTTTTGTAATGAACAGCAGACTTCGTAGTCTCGAAGACCTACTTATCAGTGATGAAAACCGGCAACCTAAGCTCCGGGACTTGAAATGGCAAAGCATATGAGGCCCTGCTAGATTTGGCTTAAGTAACCTGGAGGTAAGCCGTAGTATTGAGCGATGTTTCCGTGAATAATTCATTATCGTATCGCATTCAGATTAGTAGACCTCACTGAAGAGACTAGGTATTTTGCGTTCTTCGCAGTTGTCTTCCACGCCGCACCTTTATTTACAAATTCCACGTGTAGACAACAAATGACGTGGAAATGTGACGACAAAATGCACAGAAATATAAGTTCCAATGGCGTCTCCCGTCTTCCTTGCTGAGGTCCAAAATGCATTTACTTTTTCTTTCGAAAACGTGGTAGCGAATCCGAAAGCAGTGGTGTTTTTATATCAATTCGCATCAGATTAAAATGCTTCAGGTATGTACGTACTGTACTGTTACACTGTGTGTTCTGTGTTGTTCACCAGAGAAGTTCATTTTCTTCTCTGTGTCCTCAGAACAGGCCCAATCCCATCCACCTTGCGCCCTCCAGCTTACTCCGTGTGTGTGTGTGTGTGTGTATTGTCTGCTTGATAGCAATGGGTGAGGTTCGCTTCATTCTGTTTCGCTCTACGTTGCTGACACCGGTGACATAGCCATGATTTCCGGACAGTGCATAAGTTTGACAGCGAATCCCGTCTTAGATCAAACTGTCCTTTCCCTCATAAATACTTAGTTTTCAATTATATAGATATATCAACGGCTTGCAAACAAGCATAGTGCCAACGCAACAATAATAATAGCAGGATATGGAGGATTAAGGCACAGAACAGTGCGGCATGAAAGGTAAACAGTTATAGTGGATTAGGAGATCAAGAATAGCAATGTTTTTTTTTTGTTCACCGGGCACTTTTTGATATTCTCGTGTGTTTTTCTCGTTTTTATGGAGCACCGGATTTAAACAGGCAGATCGTGCAGCATTCGTGCCACTCAATTCTATTCCGGGCCATATCTTTCAGCGTCCGTGCATGATGATTCCAAGGGGCCTATCCAAACCCTTTGTTGCTCATATATATACCACTTGAATCCAACTACTCCTAAATGTTTCCATGTTTACTCACCTATCTATCTAATCTATCTATCCTCAAACCCGAACCAGGAAACGTTGCTCAGTCCCGACCAGGGTTGCGAGTATGATCGGCTGCTCGAAATCAATCTGGACACGCTCGAGCCACACGTTAATGGACCTTTCACTCCGGACCTGGCTCATCCTATCTCCAAGGTAATGGAATCAGCTTTCAATGTTTTCGCTCACTCACCCACCCAGACACATACAAGTGTGCGATCAAGTGCACGACCAAAATATGAACCGATAAACAACCCACTAACAATGCTACCAGGCTGTAGAGCTATACGCAAAATGCCATTCTAACAGCACCAAGACGTCCAATTGGCACCTTCCGTCATGATTTGTGATCGATTGATATCGTTTCGGTTTTATCAATACGTATTACTTGTTATTTTTCTAATTTTGCGCAGAATGTCAAGCAGTGTTTGGAGTAGGGATGTGCAACTGTGTGGTACGAGTGAGTTTCTTTTAATTTTATGCGTCAAACGGAATATTGTCCCATCCCCTCTGGTCCCAGTACTGTTGAATGTGGTCCGAAGTTCTTTCCTTACATATAGACGTACTTATATATATATATATATATATATATATATATGTGTGTGTGTGTGTGTGTTTACATGCGCAAGTTATTTGAAAATATATTTCCCTTACATTTTTTCAATTACCATTCACCGGGTAATTACAAACTCAGATATTCGAGGTGTATTCACAATAAAGTTACAAATTAGTACGAGGGATGCAGAAGCACGAGCCTCCGTAAAATGTGTTTGAGTTTTCCTTCAATTTTTTGTGAGGGGATTCTTTCTAATGACATTCTCTAGTTCCATCGTGTAATCAAAATACTCCCGCACCTTCAAGAATGACGGAGACCCTGTTCTCACCCCCAAAAAGTGTCCTTGTGAAGTTTGTCTCTGTAGTTATCTTGTGGGAAAGGTCTACTTCCTACATTCTCCAGTTCAGCATGTTTTCACTCAAGAGAAAGAGAAAAATCGGGAGTAGAAAGTAAAGATCTCGACCTAAAGTGGGCTCGATGAGCCTTGAGCAGCTCGTATATCTAAAAAACGCTGGTAGTTCTTGATTTTTTACTTTTTAAGCATTGGAATACGAACTGGTTCTGAATTATCCGTATCGCTATAGCCACCAACGCACTCGGGCGATTGACCACCCTGGACATGTGAAACACTCTCTAAGACCTTACGATCCAATTGGCTGGGCCTAAGTTTTGGCACTGTCCTGTCGCCTTTCTGGTCTGGATCTGGCTAGTCGAAGGCTCCCAAAGAAAACCATTTGGTCTGGGTAACCTAGCGGTATTCCATCCACCAATGTCATGAATTATTGGTTTCTTTGTTATAGGTATTATTATACCATAACTTGTTCGACACAATTTAAATCTAGACCAATGTGAATTATTAAATGCGCTCCAATCTGGTGCATCTGTTCCACATATCGTTATTCTTATATGCTTTTTTCCATTTAATGACATTTTTTCTATTTTGTTCCTAATTCAACTGTTCCCTCTTCTCCCCCTTCCTTCGTTCTGTCCTTCACTCCAGCTG